ATGTTTCTGAATCTTACAAAAAAACAGTAAGAAAAAGAAAAATTACCCAACAATTAACCCTTCAAAAAACAAAAAACAAGATTAAAATCACTAACAGGACCCACTTCCTTCTTCCACCTCCTCAATCCCTTCAAATGCTTCAATTTTCACACAATCTTTTACCTGAAAATTCTTCTTGCACTCATCAACTAGCCCCTTAAGCTGCCCAATAGGCCGATTCACCATATCCCTCCTCCCAGTCACCAAACAAATAGTGATGCCCTTGCCCTAACCCTAATCCCTCCCCTCTAAAGTACTCCCTACTCAAGATCACCTCGTAGAACACAAACGCCTTCGACAAAATCGACGGTGAGGGGATTGACGGAGCTTCGACGGTGACAGAGGCGGGGATTGACGGAGGTAGAGCTTCTCCAGCGGGATTGACGAAGGAAACTCTTTCAAAACATAACAGATATAAAAGAGAAAAAGAAGGGTATTATGGTCTTCACGAATTTAAATCTCTTAGGTTTTGTGTTTTAAGGCTCAGAGAACACAAAGTTTATTTTTGGGGGTAAAACACCCGTTGAAAAAGTCTTGGGAGGGGGAAGCACGTTTTCTTTCGTTTTGGCGGCTAGAAACATTTTCCCTAAGAATTAAATATATCTACAAAAGAGACAATAGATGAAAACATAGATCAACTTTTTAAAAAAACTCCAACAATCCCTCCAAAAAGTTGAATTTTGAAAATAATAATAACAAGAAAATGAATACCTTTATGATTCACAATATTAGGTTGCCTAATACTTAATATATATTTTCTTCATGGTATTTGTTTTCTTATTACTATTGTTATTATACCAAAATTCAACTTAAGATGGGGTTTGGGGGGATTCTTACATTTTTTTGAAAAAAAAAGAATTTTTTAGGTTATTTTATTACTTTACGAAGAAATATCTTGACTAGTTGTAACAAGTCTAATATTCCTCCTAAGAAAATTGTGTGTTGGTTTTAAAATCCCAAAGTTATATGCAACTAAGTGAAGCATTTTTCCAACCAACTCTTTTCTTTAGCATCTATAAGAGAATTGAGAAAAAAATACAATAAAATTGTGTTTAATCCTTCCTTCCTTCCTTTATAATATAAAATTCATTTATTATCTATCATTCTAAATGGTCAAATATCCATCTAAACAAGAGGCTCCGTTGTTCGTTGCATAATCGAGCATCGACTCTTAGGTGTTTTTTTACCGCTAGAAGCAAACTGCTAGATATGCCTGCGATGGCGACGGAGACGACGACGACAATGACGGAGGCGACGGACACCAGACAGCGATGGACACCAAATGACGACAGGAAAGAAAAGGGGAAATTTGATTTTTTAGTTAGGGCGTACAGTTGAAAAGGGGGAAGAAGAGGAGAGAGAGAGAGGGGGGGAAGGAGTCGTCGACGAGAGCTGATAAGTGTTGACGGCGATGGCGAAGGCAAGGATGGAGGCAACGGATACCATACGACGAGGGAAAGGAGGTGTCGACGAAAATTTATTTTTTCAATTAGGGCGTAGAGTTGAAAAGGGGGAAGAAGATGAGGGAGAGAGGTATTAGTTTAAGGAGGTATTGAGTGGGGTATTTTGGGGGTTTTTATCATGTTTGTGTATAAATACAAGTCCTCTACCTACTGTATTTTGGACATTAGGATTAAAGGCAAAAACAAAAAGACAATTAGGTTTAAGAATACAAGCAATAGTGATTAAGTTTATAGATAAATATGAGTAAACAAATGAGGCAAAAAAACCCAAAAAAGAAACATATGATATTCTTTTCCTTTCCAAAGCAATTACAGCCACATATCCCTAGTGCTTTGTGACATCACCATCCACTATCCGCGTTAAAAAGAGCAACACACTTTTGTTTTTTCTATCCTCAAAAGGACTCAAAAGTAGCCATGTGGACCCAATTTATCCCTAGTCTTGGCTTCAAAAAGCAAGTTACATGGTTTGAAATTCAATTTAATGAGTCCATGTCGTTTGGTTGCGGAGCCGCACTGGTACATACCCGACACGGGTAGGGGACTCAATCTATCATGTCGGGGTATACCGGATCCACCTTGAGCTTCTTCTCGCATGAAATTCACCTTGAGGGCTATTCGGGCATACTTCTTTCGAGTATTATTTGACATTCATCCTGTTGCTGGGTTGTCGCTGATAGTGTTGATGGTGCCTTTATTGCTGGTTTCTCTCGGTTGATTTTTTGCCGACTCATGTCCTTCTCTCTGATTTATCTGGGAGTGGTTCTTCCTTATTGAGGTCGTCAAGTAATTTCTTCCGCAGCCCTCTTTTGATAAGGGTCTTGATGTCTCTTTGTAGGATTCTGTAGTCATCCGTGTCGTGGTCGTGTCCTAATGATAGTGGTAGCATTGTTGAGAATCCCTCTCGTGAGGGTTTGAAGTCATACGATGCGGAGTTTTGACAAGATGTCACTTCTTTAGGATTAGATGGAATAATTGTGAGAGGGAAGCGTTGAGAGGGGCGAGCATCAGGTCTCCTTGTCACGTCCCTTCTCTGATCTCTCCTATCGGGTCGGTCGGATCTGGACTTAGACTCAAATCAGTCGTCTTTAACTTTTTAGCCTTTGAAAGATTCGGCATTGGCATCTTCCTTTCGGGCTACCCTCTTATGGAAGCGACTATCTTCCACATCCATATGTGATTGAGCTCTAGCTATAAGTTGGTTGAAGTTAACCACGGGATTCATGATAAGCGAGTTGCATAGTTTTCCATCTTCTAGACTAGAGATTATTGTTGCCATCGCCACCATGTTGTCAGGGTCTTCTACCTCTAATCGTTGGCTTGGAATCTTTTGAAATATTTCCCTCAGAGTTTCACCAGGTCTTTGTCTGATCTACAACAAGAGAGCAGAGAGCCTTATTCTTTGTGTTTGCTAAGAAGTGGTGTACAAATTTTTGGTTGAGTTGTTCGTAGCTGTGGATGGACTTTTTCTCCTGATAATTCCACCACATCTTAGCACTACCACTAAGGTGACGGGAAAAACTCTACATGGAATCATCACCTGTTGATGCACATCAAATCAAAGAAATTATGTACATGTTTAGCTGGATCACCTTCGCTCTTGTATTTCTCAATGAGTGGCATCTTGTAGGGAAAAGAAAATTCATGATTTCATTTGAGAGAGGAGTATTCCTTCCGATGGTGTTGGTCAACGTGTTGAATGTTCGGTCGTAACCAGAAGTTAGGTTGATCACAGAGGGATCAGCCTAGGTCGTCGAGTTTGGGTTATGTAAGGATACCTCTACCCCTCGTGACGTCGCTTGAGCGATAGGGCTAGTACCGAGGCTCCAAGCTTTCGCGTGTATCTTCCAAGTGTTAGTGACTCTGCTAGGGGACGACAGTGAAGAGGGTTTGATGTCGTGGTAGTTGGGGAATGGTCTCCCTAACCTGCTCTTCGTCTTTCTGCCGCTGGTGTTGCCCCTCGAGGAAAGTGGTGGTAGGTGATGTTGGAGGTTAGAAAGGAAGAACATGACTAAGAAGTTCATTAGCAAATGAAGAGAATTGTTGTTGGAGTGCTTGAGCTATCCTTCAGGAGGATTCATTTAGCTGAGCTCGAGTGACATAGTCGGAAGTGGAAGATTTTCCAGGAGTGTGTTAGGGATTGGAGGGCGATTAGGATCAGCCATTTTTTCAAGGGAAGAAATAAGCCCTACGGCTGACGCTAAACTGTTTATCTTAAAAAGATAATTATATGTGGGGGATATTTGAAAGAGTTTAGGTCCTCAATCTTCATTGATGACTAATTAATCTGAGGGAAGCAGATCCTTACATAGGTAACGCTTGTTAGAGAGTCGGAGGAGGTTTCCCTCGGTGTGTCCTTCAACGATCAAGTCAGTGATAGATAAGCAGACTATTGGAATGTAGAATCTACTTCAGGATTTTGCCTAGCGTACCTTGGTGTAGTAGGGGTTATCCATCATTTTATAGAGAATATGTAGGGGCACATTGGTAATTTGACCCTGTCGGTGGAGTCGGTTGACCAGACTCTACTTTACACGTGTTGGCAATCAGTTGAGTGACTCAGCTTTGCATTATACGCGACAGTGACAGAATGGCGAAAGTGCGGGGGTCGTCCGAAGAGTCATTATGACTTCGGCTCAAGAAGTCATTATGACTCTAGCCATGTATTTAATGCAATGGCAACTGGGAGGTGAAGAGTGCCATTGATGAGGCTGATAGATCATTCCGTTGTTTGAGAAATTTTCTGGTGGAGTCCGACCAGAAGGCGTCTTTCATCTCGGACTCAGATTTTCTAGTGGATTTCTTTAACACATCTGGGTCGGATTTTCAGATTGTAGGACTCGGCCCATTAAAATGACATATGGCCAACTCTTAAGGGCTTTTTAGGCTTGGTAATTCTCAGGGTATACCAAGATATAAAAATGGTTTTTCTTTTTTTTATTTATTTATACACAAGTAACCTATTCCTCAACCCCCATACCCCACCCCAAAAGAAAAACAAAACAAAATTTTGCAGTAATTAAGGGGCTGTTTGGTTCGTTTCCTAGATATAGGAAAATGCATTTTCATGTACAAAAACACAAGTTTTGAGTTTTCCAAACTTTTCCAAGAAATAGATTGTTTCGCTTTGGTTCGCACAAAAAAATAGTGGAAAACCAATGTATTTATTTTTCTTGTATTTGGTTCGTATGGAAAAAAAGGAAAAACTTTTGTTTATATGGCAAAAAACCGACGTGGGTGCAGTTTTCGTCGATTTCACGAGGTTGAGGAAGGAATTGAGGGTGAGAAAAAATTTGATGTGGCGGCAATTTTCACCGAGTTTCCCTTCTTCAACTCTAGCGAACCAAAAATGAGAAAAAAAACCGACGGAAATCTTATATTCTACGTGGCCACGAAAAATCTGATGTGGAGGCGGCGTAAAACTTTTCCACCGAGTTAAAAAACGAACCAAACAGCCCCTAAACAGCATGAAGAAGGAAACTCAAAAACCAGCTTTACCTTAACTCGTGAAGGGTCGATAACGGCATCCTTGCTCGTATCCAGAGAAAGCATCAGCTCCTCATCATTAGCAACGGCGCAAAGCGCAGCAACAACCTCAGCAGCAGTCTGCAGGCATCGAAGGAAAGGAGACACCATCACTCGATGAATAGGAAACCGTAACCCTCTAATCCTTTTTCCGGTGGTCCAAGCCCTAATCTTTCCCTCGATGCGGTCGCCGTGTCGCATGACGACGACGTTCTGAACTCCGGCGGTGGCGGCCACGGCGGAGGAGGAGTTTTGGTGTTGCTCCATTTTTGATTTGGGGAAGAACGGAGAGAGCTGTCGTCTTGTTTAAATTCAACGTTGGACGAAGAGAGCCGTGGTTGCTTATGGGCCAATAGAGTTCCCAGTTCAAGTTTGTCGGCTTTTAGTTCAGTGGGCCAATAAAGCTCAGTTGGTTTTCGCAGTGGGCCCAACTTAAAAAGCCTAACACAAAGGAGGAGAGACACGTGGTTATGAACACGGGTAAGAGCGTCCAAATCAGAAATAGCGAAGAGTTGGACTCAAATCGCTAACAAGTAGGGCCCAAAGACCTATCGCAACGCCACAAAAGGTGATAGCGGAAGGGAAGGATCTAGTTTGAAATCTCTAACTACAGGCTAAGAAAAGCACGTCCGCTCTCATGACACGTCAAACAGTCTAAAACTAGATGAAGTTCAAATCGAACCCTATTTTAAAATGAGGTGCACTAGGGGCAATACCCTCTACCATATTCCTAACCACACCACATCTCTTGCTACAGTGCACGGGGTCCATGTGAGATTTTAATTTTTAAAATCTCTTGTGTGCCCCTATCATTATTTTTTTAAAATGGAACCGAGTTAGACTAGCTTTATCTTAATTAAAATATCTTGACTAAGCCAAAGTTGAATCATATAAGTGTTGGTAAAAAAACTGGTTTAGGGGCTAAATATTAAACTAGAAAGAACTAGTTTAATTTAAGCTCAACTTTTGCCAAACTAAAAATAAGATATTGGACTAATGTTGCACCACTTAAAATAAGTTTTGTGGATATGTGTTTAGTAACTCATTTAAAACTGGGTAAGAATCAATCGAACCAGTCATGTCCTATTTTTATCTTAAATCGAACTGGAATGACCCGCCCTTAGGATATGTTTCGCAACTCATCTAGAACTTGGCCAGGATCAGTCGGATCAGTGTTGGCCCAATTTTATCCTAAACTGAATCTGGAATGAACCGATGAATGGATGGTCCAAATCTGACATATTTTGTATTAGTCCCTTAAGTCTGACCTATTTGGATATTACCCCCACATCAAATATTCATATTTTGGTATTAGTATCTCAAATTGCATTAGCGTGTTGCTATAAGTCCCTCTGTTAGATCTTCTATTAAAAATACTAAACTATGGCTCCGTTAGCGCTAATCACGGATAGTACTTTACCAAAATACCCTGAGAATCGATCACCTCCTCCTTCCCTGGACAGTCATAAATATCACTTGGAATAAATATATCCATGGGTGAAAGGTCCCATTAGAATCTTGATCTTAGAGGTGCAAGAATACATGCTCCTGCTTAAAATTTGGGGAAAATGTGTCCAGGCCCCAAAAGCAGAAACTTCATGTGACGAGTCCCCTCATAGTTTTCCCCATGTGGATTAGCCCCTTGAAGTGTGACACTTTGTACTACAGCCTCTTTTTAATAATTATTACATGCCAGCAAAGCTAAAATCCTCAAATTATCCTTATCCTCTCTCCTCAATCCCTCAAACCAGCTCTCTCTCTCTCAAACCAATGGCTTTCTCAAGCTTGTTGCTCTGGCCCTCGCATTCCTCGCCGTCGCTGCATCCGCCTGGGCCCCAAGCGCTCTCATCTCCCCTCTCTCTCCTCTCTCTCTCTCCTCTCTCCTCTCTCTCTCTCAAGCTCTCAAGCCCCATTCCTGCCCGCGACTACACCCTTCACGACGACATCGGGCTCCAGATCCGCGATCTAGCTCGCGAGTTGGGCCCTCGAGTTCCCAACCACTTCCCCTCCTCTCCTCCGCCCTGCCTCGTCGTCGTTGCTCACCGCCGCTCCCCGCCTCGCCCTTGACTACGCCGGAGTTCTCCACTGTCGCTAACTGCCTTGCCCTCGAGTTCGCCATCAACGTTGTCGGGATGCCATCAACCCGGATGCTTGCTAAGAAGAAGCTACAGGTCTTCAACAACTTAGACTAACATATATCGCATCACATGTCGATCCTGCCCAGCATCAACTTTCACGACAACAAATGTTTTTTTGGCTTTTTCAATATTCAGGAGAACAAAGTGATGTTGATTCTGATGGTAATTAATCAAAACATTATTTAAGCTTGCATCTAAACCTTTGAATTCCTCTCTTTTGGACTTGGGCTCTTGGGCAATGAATTGGTCGGAGTAGATTCTCCATTCGATTGCGTTTATTTGGCAATGAATTGGTCGGAGTAGATTCTCCATGCTAGTTCTAGCCCGTACTATATTAGTTCTAGCTAGTTCTAGCTCTAATTCATTTTAGTTCTAGGCTCTTGGGCCCTCAAGTTAGTTTTAACCCGCACCTTCTTAGTTCTAGCCCGCACCATGCTAGTTCTAGCCCGCACTATGTTAGTTCTAGCAAGTTGGGGCAAGTTAGAACTAACAATATTCGAAGCGATATAACAAAAAGTAGAAAATAAGCCCAAGTGAAAGGAAGATACAGTGTGATAGACAATATAAAGGGCTACACACCGGCGAAGACAATGGTGAAAACGGAGACCGGAGGTGGCCGGAAAACACGCGCGAAGTCGGCACGGCGCTGCTGTTTTCTGCTCGCTGCTGCCATCGAGCGATGTTTCGGACGTTACCGAGAGAGATAGAGAATGAGTTAGAGCGTGATACAAATTGAATGTGATAGGCAACATGTAGGGCTACTCACCAAAGAAGAAATCGGCGGAAACAGAGATTGGAGGTGATCGGAAAGTGCGTACGAAGTCGGCACAAAACTACAGTTTTCTGCAGTGCAATTTCTCGCCGCTCGGGTTTGTTCTTCGCTGTTTGGAGCTTTTCGCTAGTTCTAGTCCGCACTATATTAGTTCTAGCTAGTTCTAATTCTAATTCATCTTAGTTCTAGGCTCTTGGGCCCTCAAGTTAGTTCTAACCCGCACCTTCTTAGTTCTAACCCGCACCATGCTAGTTCTAGCCCGCACTATGCTAGTTCTAGCTAGTTCTAACTCTAATTCATCTTAGTTCTAGGCTCTTGGGCCCTCAAGTTAGTTCTAACCTGCACCTTCTTAGTTCTAGCTCGCACCATGATAGTTCTAGCCCGTACTATGTTAGTTCTAGCTAGTTCTAGTTCTAATTCATCTTAGTTCTAGGCTCTTGGGCCCTCAAGTTAGTTCTAACCCGCACCTTCTTAGTTCTAGCACGTACCATGCCAGTTCTAGCCCGCACTATGTTAGTTCTAGCTAGTTCTAGCTCTAATTCATCTTAGTTCTAGGCTCTTAGGCCCTCAAGTTAGTTCTAACCCGCACCTTCTTAGTTCTAGCCCGTACCATGCTAGTTCTAGCCCACACTATGTTAGTTCTAGCTCTAATTCATCTTAGTTCTAGGCTCTTGGGCCCTCAAGTTAGTTCTAACACGCACCTTCTTAGTTCTAGCCCGTACCATGCTAGTTCTAGTCCGTACTATGTTAGTTCTAGCTATAATTCATCTTAGTTCTAGGCTCTTGGGCCCTCAAGTTAGTTCTAACACGCACCTTCTTAGTTCTAGCCCGCACCATGCTAGTTCTAGCCCACACTATGTTAGTTCTAGCTAGTTCTATCTCTAATTGATCTTAGTTCTAGGCTCTTGGGCCCTCAAGTTAGTTCTAACCCGTACCTTCTTAGTTCTAGCCCGTACCATGCTAGTTCTAGCCCGTACTATGTTAGTTCTAGCTAGTTGTAGCTCTAATTCATCTTAGTTCTAGGCTTTTGGGCCCTCAAGTTAGTTCTAACCCACACCTTTTTAGTTCTAGCCCGCACCATACTAGTTCTAGCCCGCACCATGCTAGTTCTAGCTCACAATATGTTAGTTCTAGCTAGTTCTAGCTCTAATTCATCTTAGTTCTAGGCTATTGGGCCATCAAGTTAGTTCTAACCCGCACCTTCCTAGTTCTAACACATACCATGCTAGTTCTAACCCGCACTATATAAGTTCTAGCTCTAATTCATCTTAGTTCTAGGCTCTTGGGCCCTCATGTTAGTTCTAACACGCATCTTCTTAGTTCTAGCCCGTACCATGCTAGTTCTAACCCGCACTATATTAGTTCTAGCTAGTTCTAGCTCTAATTCATCTTAGTTCTAGGCTCTTGGGCCCTCAAGTTAGTTCTAACCCGCACCTTCTTAGTTCTAGCCCGCACCATGCTAGATCTAGCCGGCAATATGTTAGTACTAGCTAGTTCTAGCTCTAATTCATCTTAATTCTAGGCTCTTGGGCCCTCAATTTAGTTCTAACCCGTACCTTCTTAGTTCTAGCCCGCACCATGCTAGTTCTAGCCCGCGCTATGTTAGTTCTAGCTAGTTCTAGCTCTAATTCATCTTAGTTTTAGGCTCTTAGACCCTCAAGTTAGTTCTAACTTGTACCTTCTTAGTTCTAGCCCGCACCTTGATAGTTCTAACCCGCACTATGTTAGTTCTAGCTAGTTCTAGCTCTAATTCATCTTAGTTCTAGGCTCTTGGGCCATCAAGTTAGTTCTAACCCGCATCTTCTTAGTTCTAGCCCGCACCATGTTAGCTAGCCGGCACTATGTTAGTTCTAGCTAGTTCTAGCTCTAATTCATCTTAGTTCTAGGCCCTTGGGCCCTCAAATTAGTTCTAACCCGAACCTTCTTAGTTCTAGCTCGTACCATGCTAGTTCAAGCCTGTACTATATTAGTTCTAGCTAGTTCTAACTCTAATTCATCTTAGTTCTTGGCTCTTGGGCCCTCGAGTTAGTTCTAACCCGCACCTTCTTAGTTCTAGCCCGTACCATGTTAGTTCTAGCTCGCACTATGTTAGTTCTAGCTAGTTCTAACTTTAATTCATCTTAGTTCTAGGCTCTTGGGCCCTCAAGTTAGTTTTAACCCGCACCTTCTTAGTTCTAGCCCGCACCATGCTAGTTCTAGCCGGTAATATGTTAGTTCTAGCAAGTTTTAGATCTAATTCATCTTAGTTCTAGGCTCTTGGGCCCTCAAGT